GTGGGGTGCCCTAGCTGTGCTCTTACAGGCAAAACACCTGTATCTTATATCTGTGAACTCCTTTCATTTGTCGCTTGGCCAGAGTCTGTGGGTCAGACTCAGCAGTGAGTAATGTTGAGTGTCTTCTCATATGGCCTTTGGCTGTATGTATGTCTTCTTTTGAAAAGTGTCTGTTCATATCCACTTTTTAATAGGATTATTTTTTTTTCCTGTTAAGTTGTTCAAGTTCATTATAGATTCTGGATATTAGACCTTTGTCAGATTCATAGTTTGCAAATATTTTTTTTTTCCATTCTGTAGGTTGTTTACTCTGTTGGTAGTTGCTCTTTAGTTCAATTAGGTCCCATTTGTCAACCTTTGTTTTTGTTGCAATTGTTTTTGGCATCTTCATCATAAAATCTTTGCTAGGGCCTATGTCCAGAATGGCATTTCCTAGGTTGTCTCCCAAGGTTTTTATAGTTTTAAGTTTTACATTTAAATCTTTAATTCATCTTGAGTTGATTTTTGTATAGGGTGTAAGAAAGGAGTCCAGTTTCAATCTTCTGCATATGGCTAGGCAGTTATCCCAGCATGATTTATTGAATAGGGAGTCCTTTCTCCATTGCTTGTTTTTGTCGACTTTGTTGAATAAGTCGACACCTTTGGTAACTGTAGGTGTGTGACACAATTTCTGGGCTCTCTATCCTGTCCTGTTGGTTTATGTGTCTATTTTTGTACCAATACCATGCTGTTTCAGTTACTGTAGCCTTGTACTACACTTTGAAGTCAAGTAGTGGAATACCACTGGCTGTGTGTGTGTGTGTGTGTGTGTGTGTGTTTCCTTAGGATTGCCTTGGCTATTAAGGCTCTTTCTCAGCTTGATATGAATTTTATGGATTTGCATATGCTGAAACCTGGCATCCCAGTGATAAAGCCTACTTGATCGTGGTGGAGTAGCTTTCTGATGTGCTGCTAGATTTGGTTTTGTATTTTGTTGAGGATTTTTGCATCTATGTTCATCAATGATTTTTTTGCCTGATGTTTTTATATGTGTCTGCATGTCTCTGCCAGGTTTTGGCATCAGGATGATGCTGGCCCCATAGAATCAGTTAGGGAAAAGTCCTTCCTCCTCATGTTAAGGGAAAAGTTTCTGTAGGAATGGTACCAGCTCTTCTTTATAGATCTGGTAGAATTTGGCAGTTACTCTGTCTAGTCTTGGGTTTTTTATGGTTGGTATGCTTTTTTTTCACTGAGTCAATTTCAGAACTTGTTATTGTTCTGCTCAGGGATTCAATTTCTTCCTGGTTCAATCTTAGAATATTTCCAGAAATTTATCAATTTCTTCTAGGTGTTCTAGTTTGTGTACATAGAGATGTTCATAGTAGTCTCTCAGGAGTTTTTGTATTTCTGTTGGGTCAGTGGTAATGTCCACTTTGTCATTTCTCATTGTGCTTATTTGGCTCTTCTCTTTTGTTTTCTTTGTTAGTCTAGCTAGCAATCTATCAGTCTTATTTATTCTTTCAAATAACCAAACTCCTGGATTCACTTATCTTTTGTATGGTTTTTCCACATCTCAGTTTCCTTCAGTTCAGTTTTGATTTTGGTTATTTCTTGTCTTCTTCTAGCTTTGGGGTTGGTTTGCTCTTGCTTCTGTAGTTCTTTTAGTTATGATGTTAGCTTGTTAATGTAATATCTTCCTAACTTTTTTTTTTGAGATGGAGTCTCACTCTGTTGCCAGGCCTTTCTAACTTTCTGGTGTGGGCATTTAGTGCTATAAATTTTCCTCTTAACACTGCTCTAGCTGTGTCTCAGAGATTCTGGTATGTTGCATATTTGTCCTCATTAGTTTCACAGAACTACTTAATTTCTGCCTTAATTTCATTATTTACTCAAAAGTCATTCAGGAGCAGTTTGCTTAATTTCCTTATAATTGCATGGTTTTGAGTGATTTCTTTTAAAGTCTTGATTTCTATTTTTATTGTGCTGTTGTCTGAGAGTGTGTTTGGTATGATTTTGGTTCTTTTGCATTTGCTGAGGATTGTTTTATGTCTGACTATTGGTCAATTTTAGAGTATGGGCCATATGGCAACAAGAATGTATATTCTATGTTTTGGGTGAAGAGTTCTGTAGATAACTGTTAGGCCCATTTGGTCAGTGTCAAGCTCAGGTCCTGAATATCTTTGTTAGTTTTCTGCATTGATGATCTAATACTGTCTGTGGGATGCTCTATTTATTGTGTGGGTGAGTTCTATGTCTCTTCATAGGTCTCTAAGAACTTGCTTTATGAATGGGGTGATCCTGTGTTGGGTGCATATGTATTTAGAATAATTAGGTCTTCTTGTTGAATTGAACCTTTTACCATTATGTAATGACCTTCTTTGTCTTTTTTGATCATTGTTAATGCCCTTATTTTCTTTTGACTATTGTGGGTTTAACGTCTGCTTTGTCTGAAATTACAACAGCAACCTCTGCTTTTTTCTGTTTTCTCTTTGCTTGGTAATTTTTTCTCCATCCCTTGACTTTGAGTCTGTGGGTGTCATTGCATGTGAGATGGGTCTCTTGAAGACAGCATACAGTGGGGTCTTGCTTCTTTATACACCTTGTGACTCTGTGCCTTTAAATCGGGGCATTTAGCCCATTTACATTCAAGGTTAATATTGACATGTGCAGATTTGATCCCATCATGTTGTTAGCTGATTGTTATGCAGACTTGATTGTGTGGTTGCTTTACAGTGTCAATGTTCTGTATACTTAAGTGCATTTTCGTGGTAGCCATTAGCACTCCCTTAAGACATTTAGCACTCCCTTAAGGACCTCTTGTAAAATAGGTTGAATGGTAATAAATTCCCCTAGCATTTGCTTCTTGGAAAAGGATTTTATTTCTCTTTCACTTATGAAGCTTAGTTTGGCTGGAGGTAAAATTCTTGGTTGGAATTTCTTTTCTTTATGAGTATCAAATGTAGGCCCCCAGTCTCTTCTGGCTTGTAGTATTTCTGCTGAAAGGTCCGTTTTTAGCTTAATGAGGTTCCCTTTGTAGGTGACCTGACCCTTCTCTCTAGCTACCTTTAACATTTTGTCTTTAATTTTGACTTTGGAGATTCTGATGACGATGTGTCTTGTGGGTGGTTGTCTTATATAGTATCTTGCAGGGGTTCTCTGCATTTCCTGAATTTGAATGTTGGCCTCTCTAGTGCAGCTGGGGACATTCTCATGGATGATATTCTTAAATATATTTTTTCAAATTGCTTGCTTTCTCTTCCTCTCTTTCAGGGATACCAATGAGTTGTACATTTTGTCTCTTTACATAATCCCATATTTTTCATATATTTTCTTCATTCTTCTGTATTACTTTTTCTTTATTTTTGTCTGACTGATTTATTTCAGAGAACTGGTTGTTGAACTCTAAGAGTCTTTCTTCAGCTTCCTAGATTCTGCTGTTAATACTTGTGATTCTATTATGAAATTCTTGACATGAGTTTTTCAGCTGTCTCATATTGGTTTGGTTCTTTCTTAAAATGGCCATTTCATCTTTACTCTCCTGTATCGTTTTATTGTGTTCCTTAGATTTTTTTTTTGAACTGGGTTTTAACTTTCTCCTGAATGTCAATGATCTTCATTCCTATTTTTGTTTGCCATTTCAGCCATTTCAGATTGGTTAAGAACAGGGGGACTAGTGTGATTATTTGAAGGTAAGAAAACATTCTGACATTTTGAGTTGCCAGAGTTCTTGAGCTGGTTCTTTCTCATCTCTGTAGGGTGGGCCAGTGATCCTCCAATATTTGAAGTTGCTGTCTTTTGAATGGGTTTTTTTTTTTTTTCAAAGTCTTTTTTGATGCCTTCGGGGTTTGACTGTGGTATAAGGTGGGTTCAGTTAATTGAGTTAATTTCTGGAAGATTTTAGGGAACAAAGGCCCAGGTCAGCCCTCCTTGTCTGCATGCTCTAATTTTGTGGGTCTGGTACCAGGTCCCTGCCTTGTTCTCTGGTCCTTTGAGATTAGGAACCTGTTGCATTGGAGGGGCCAAGATATTTTTGGTCTACTGGCTACAGCACTCCAATGAGTGGTACCAGGCAAAGTGGTTCATAGGGGTGGTGGTAGTGGGATCGATGCCTGCTCACATGTGCCAGCAGCCATGGCAGCATGGCAGAGTACATGTACCTAGATATATTTCTATGCATGTGCACAGATAGATGAATAAAAGATAGACAAATAGATGGCTGGCTGGCTGGCTTGGTGGAGAACAAGAGAGGAATACTATTGTGAAAGTTGTCAGAAGAAAAATAGTCACTTGTGTTTTTAAAAAACAAAAACTCTGACAAACAGAGCCAGGGAAGGCCATGAAGAGGGTTCACGAATAAAAGATAGACAAATAGATGGCTGGCTGGCTGGCTTGGTGGAGAACAAGAAAGGAATACTATTGTGAAAGTTGTCAGAAGAAAAATAGTCACTTGTGTTTTTAAAAAACAAAAACTCTGACAAACAGAGCCAGGGAAGGCCATGAAGGGTTTGCATGCATGAATACTTGGTGACAAAAACTATCACAGAAGACTGCAAAAACCACAAACTTGCTCAAAGGCTGTCACAACCTTACACAAAAAATACTTCTGTGAAAATATCTGCCCCCAACTACCTGTCCAAACTTGGACTGGTCTCACCCTTGTTATTGATCCTTGTAACCCAAGGAAAATTATCTCAAAACAATTATGTCATCCTCCTCATTTTTCGTTTAAAACCTTTATCTTCCTTTACCTCCCTGAATATGCATATAATTTACTATGGGACACACATTCCCATTGCAATGATTTATTCCTGAATATGTATAATTTTCTTTTAGAGACTCTCTCTCTGTTATTTAGGCTGACACTTTTATAAAAGTGGAGACATACTATAGATAATCATGGACATGCTATCTTTCGTATTACCTGGGCTCTACTCTGTCTTCTGGGATTTTGTTAATTATTCTATATCAGGGTTCATACTCCTCATTTGGGTGTGTTTTCTGTTCTTTATTTTAATTCTTAGGTTGGGATATCTCAGAAGCAGAACCTGAGACAAGAAAGTGAGTGGAAGCACTTTATTTGGGAGAAAGTCCCAGAAAGCACTGGTAGGTGAGTGGAAAAGTGAGAAAGGGAAGCGAAGAAAGTCAGTAAAGGGTGTGCCAGTAAAAGGTTACTTTTGTGGGCAATAGAAGCAGCTTAATCCCACCAGGGGATTCTGGGAGGCAGTGCAGAACACATATCAGAGTTATTGCAATTGAGAGTGGAGAAATTGGATATTTATCCCACCTGTTGTCAGTCATTGGTTGAGCATTGCTGGGAGGAGGCATTAACTTCCCAGTACTTTCTGCCTGTGCCAGGAGAGACCAAGGTGGGCTCTGCTGGTCAAAAGAACCCTCAGAGGCTGGGCATTGTGGCTTACCCTTGTCATCCTAGCACTTTGAGAGGCCAAGGTGAGCAGATCACTTGAGGTCAGGAGTTCAAGGCCAACCTGGCCAACATGGTGAAACTCTGCCTCTATTAAAAATACAAAAAATTAGCTCGACGTAGTGGTGCATGCCTGTAGTCCCAGCTACTTGAGAGGCTGAGGCAGGAGAATTGCTTGAATCTGAGAAGTGGATGTTGCAGTGAGCCAAGATCGTGCCACCTGCACTTCAGCCTGGGTAGCAGAGCAAAACTCTGTCTCAAAAAAGAAAAACAAAAACAAAAAACCCTCAGTTGTAGGTGGTTGCAGTTGGAAGCTCAAAAACCAGACATAGGAAACTGTGAATGCTAAGGGTTGTGGGAAGGGCCCCAACAGTGTTGGTATTGCTCGGGGGGTTTGGATTGTTCTCCCAATTCAGCCTGGAACCCTGTTGACTTCCATACTTTTCAGAGAATCAGGGCACTGAGTTCACTTCTCTATCCCTTTTTCTCTAGCATTAATTTCCATCATTCTTCAGTCAGAAGATGAGAGAGATACATATGCACTCAGTATATATATTCTGTCCTAATTTGAAGGTTTTGGTAAGAATCCTCAGGATTTTGTTGACTGTCTTGTACTGTTTCTGGGGGCAGCCGTAAAGTTAGGAGCTGAGCTTTCCTGTGTATCTGGCTTCTCTGTTCTGTTCTAGAAGTCGGTGCTCCTCCCAAGCCCTTTCTGCCACTAACCTCTCACAGTTTTTCAAGTTATCATATGATGGTTTAAGAAGTGTGTCCACAAGTTCTTTGACATCCTTCTTCCAAAGGGCATTGGCTAATTCCTCTCGAGTGTGGGCTGGACTTGATGCTTCTCTTCTTTTTAATTAATTATTTATAGAGATGAGGTCTTGAACTCCTGACTTCAAGCAATTCTCCTGCCTCAGTCTCCCTAGGATTACAGGTGTGTGCCACCACGCCTGGCCTTGATGATTCTCTTCTAATGAATAAAATACAGTGTAAGTAAGGATATGTGACTAGTAGATTGAAAGCACCCTGATTCCCCCCAGCTTGCACACTTGGAACACTGACTCTGAGGGAGGATAACTACCCTATTGTGAAGCTACTCACGAGCTTTGCAGTGAGATCCAAAGATGATTCTATGAGTAGTCATGAGGAATGAAAGCCTCCAGACAACCATTGCATGAGAGAGTTAGGAAGAGGACCCGCTAGTACCTATCAAGTCTATAGAGGGGAAACACTGAGCCGGAACCACCCAGCTAAGCTTCTCCCAAATTCTTGGTTCATTCACAAAAGCTGTGAAAAGTTTGTTCTTTTAAGCCATTGAGTTTTGGAATAATTTGTTAAGCAGCAGTAGGTAACTATTAAAAATAAAATTATGTAGATTTTTCCATTTCCTAGTTTGGTTCTTTTTGGTAAATTTAAGGCTGGCTTTAAAAAATATTTTTTGCTCTCCTTTTAAAATATGTAGTTTTCCACCATATTGAACAAAAACTTTGATATTAACTCTTTGCCTTGAATATGGGATAATATATTAACCTTTGCTTTTCACTCTCTTTTTGTTGTTGTTGTTGTTGTTGTTTTTGAAACAGGGTCTCACTCTGTCACCCAAGCTGGAATGCACTGATGCATCCTCAGTTCGCTGCAATCTCCACCTCCTGGGCTCAAGCAGTCCTCCCATTTCAGCCTCCTGAGTAGCTGGGACTTCAAGTGCATACCACCATGCCTGGCTAACTTTTGTATATTTTTTAAATAGAGATGGGTTTAGCCAGGCTGGTCATGAACTCCTGGACTCAAGCAATTGATCTGCCTTGTGCTAGAGTTACAGGTGAAAGCTACTGTACCTGGCCAAAGTGCTAGGGTTATAGGTGAAAGCTACTGTACCTGGCCAAAGTGCTAGGGTTACAGGTGAAAGCTACTGTACCTGGCCAAAGTGCTAGGGTTATAGGTGAAAGCTACTGTACCTGGCCAAAGTGCTAGGGTTACAGGTGAAAGCTACTGTACCTGGCCAAAGTGCTAGGGTTATAGGTGAAAGCTACTGTACCTGGCCAAAGTGCTAGGGTTACAGGTGAAAGCTACTGTACCTGGCCAAAGTGCTAGGGTTATAGGTGAAAGCTACTGTACCTGGCCAAAGTGCTAGGGTTATAGGTGAAAGCTACTGTACCTGGCCAAAGTGCTAGGGTTACAGGTGAAAGCTACTGTACCTGGCCAAAGTGCTAGGGTTACAGGTGAAAGCTACTGTACCTGGCCAAAGTGCTAGGGTTACAGGTGAAAGCTACTGTACCTGGCCATACCTTTTTATTATATGTACTCATTGGGGATGTGGAACAACTTTCATCATTTTATTTCTGGGACAACAGGGAAGAGGTAATTTATTCAGTATGTCCTTCCCTCTCATATATTACCTGTAAAGAGAACAATGTGAAGAGATTAATGCTTTTAATTGATAGAGACGCTAACAAGTTCTAGACAAAAGAAAGGTTTAATATAGTCTCCAAAAAACCTCTTCAACTTTTGTGGTTGTTTTCCCACCTACTTCTAACAATCCTCTTGGATTCTCTGGATTCTTAATAACCTTAGTCACCAATACCATTACTGTTTTCTCCGTCTGGTTCATACTGATTAGAAGTGGCTGTTCGTCTGCATCACCAGGTTCATAACCTCGATTTTCTCTGTTTGAAATCTCTTAAGAAATATTTTTTCCTATAAATTTCACATTTGCTTTGTATTTTTAGAAATAGTGCATGAAAGACATAGAATAGGGCAGAATCTGATGAGTGGGGAGATTAGGATCTCATGAAGTTAAAGCAGGGTCTCTTAACCTAGAAACTAGAGAAAGCAGGTATTCCCTTAAGCAACTCTTAGACCTCCGTTTTTATAATAATTTAAATCACTTTAAAATAAAGTTTACGTTGAAATGTACACATGGGAGAACAGAGTTTCAAGGCATACTTAATGATTTGGGGGAAAAAAACTCCAGTAGAAATATACACTTTAAAATGTAGAGCACAAAATAGTACATATTCTATGATTAAAAAACATGTAAAAAGTATGGGTATATATGGATATAGATTTGGAACTAAAGAAATGTAGTTATTTTATTTAGGCCTAGACACCACAGGCACACTTTTTGAAACCATAAAAGCAAAAGCTTTCTGGAAGGGAGATAAATAACTACATATGCCTGGGTGGCTTTCTGTAAACATACTGTACTGCAGAATTTTAAAAAGTTAAATGGGGCCAGACATGGTGGCTCACACCTGTAATCCCAGCACTTTGGGAGGCCAAGGCGGGTGGATCACTTGAGGTCAGACATTCGAGACCAGCTTGGCCAATATGGTGAAATCCCATCTCTACTAAAAATACAAAAATTAGCTGGATGTGGCAGTGTGCATCTGTAATCCCAGCTACTTGGGAGCCTGAGGCAGGAGAATCCCTTGAACCTGGGAGGTGGAAGTTGCAGCTAGCTGAGATCACTCACTGCCACTACACTCCAACCTGGGCAACAGAGCAAAACTCAGTCTAAAAAAAGTAAATTGGGCTGGGGTTATGAAGGAGAAAGAAAGAGCGTTCTTTCCTTCTGACTGAAGTGAGGTTTGCAAGCTAAGACTTCTCTTGTATTTGTTTTAAAACTTTCCTACACTTCTTTCCATCTCCTCCTTGGCCCCATTTTGCTCTGTTCTGCTTTTCTTCTCCTCTCTTGATAGAAAAATCACCAAATTACTTAATGATTGACTATTTTGCCTGAACAAAAATCATAAGACTTCCAAAAATTGAAGTAAGTTTCAATTTGAAAATCATACCAACAAGATGGTGGCTCAAGAGCTGTGCCTGCTGTCACCTTTGGCTTCTAAGAAACAAACAACAGCCTGCCTCAGTCTTCTACATGTGTTTTCAGCCCTCTGAATGTGGAGATAACCTAAGGGAGGGAGCAAAGGCCATACAATTGGAAGAAATAAATAGGCCTGCTTATTAGGTCTCCCTATAAAACTATTTATGATCTGTTATGCCTCATCTATTAAAGAGCATAATAAGCACCACAGGTCACATTACAGATGTGCATGTGGTTAACTTTAAAAATGTGGCTGTCTGCAGAAGGAATTCTGTTTGAAGAAGGGCCAGTTGCAGTGTAATGTCAAACTGTGTCCATCTGCCCTGTGGAATGTTGAACACTGATCATTTATGCCACGGTCAGCAAGGCCATTTTCTTCCCTGGGCAAAAAGAAAGAGGATAGTGAAGGTATCAGGCCAGAGGTGGTACATCTTTATGGAGAGGACTCTAGTCATGGGATGGTGGCTGAGTAGCGGTGACCTTGCAGAAGACCAGGTAGGTGTGTTCAGGAACCTGGGTACACTTTAACAAATGGGAATTCCTGGCCGGGATTGTCTGTAGTGGCAAGTTTGTAAGATGGTATACAGCCCCACTGTGGCATAGTCCCTGACTTGGCATCTTTGGGAGAGGTGAGTTCTTCTATCTTTTTAGAAATGAACTGCAGCTCAATTTCTTATGTTCCATTTCATCTTGTGACCTGACCTCACACTACATGGGTCAAAATAGATGTTTTTGAAATGCTTGTGGTTTCCCTAAGTGATTTTAGTGTCAAAACTTCTGGAATTTGCCTAAAACATAAATCCACATCTCTTTTCACCTTTCATTCTTCATTTTTGATTTTTTCCTTGTAAGTTGCAGTATCTATATTTTTTTATTCATGTCTTTTTTTTCTTAGCTTTAAATTCTAGGTTTTATGAGCCTTACCTTATTTTATTTTATTTTTTATTTTTATTTTTATTTTTTTGAGTGGAGTTTCACTCTTTTTACCCAGGCTGGAGTGCAATGGCACAATCTCAGCTTACTGCAACATCCGCCTCCTGGGTAGCTGGGATTACAGACACGCACCACCACGCCTGGCTAATTTTGTATTTTTAGTAGAGATAGGATTTTACCATGTTGGCCAGGCTGGTCTTGAACTCCTGACCTCAGGTGATCTGTCCACCACGGCCTCCCAAAGTGCTGGGATTATACGCATGAGCCACTGTGCCCAGCCTGACCCTTACCTTATTATCACAGATTTGTTCTCTGTGTCTTATCTCAAATGTCTTCCTGCCTTATTGTCTATGAAAAATTCTCTGGAGATTCTACACAAGGTCAGATTTTTGCTGCTGGTAGGACAAACTTCATCCCTGCACTCACATATGGCAGAAGAGACTAGCTGCTTTCCACATGTCAACTCAAAAGATGGAGGATTTGAGGGTGAGACCATTAAAAGTGGCTTTTATTTTCTTTGTACTCTAAAATTTTTTCCAAATGTTCAATAATAAACATTTATTACTTTAAATTACAATTTTAAAAGATGAGATATTTATCATGAATAACCTTGGCTTCTTTTCATAAACCACTATGGTTCTATTATTTTATCCAAATCCTTTTTGAAGTTATATATTTTGCCCTTTTAACTTATAAGTTCAAAAGCATTGTAAACTGCCACTCATGATGAGGTAGTGATGTCTTTGATTTATTAAAGACAAATATCTAAGTTTGTCATTTTAGAGAATTGTGCTTCTTTAGTCAAACATTGAATATTAGTCATGATTCTCATAAAACTTGCAAATGAATATAAAACATCTAAGTGCTATTCTCCTTTATTTTTTGTGTCTCTGTGGTAAGTAGTAAAATGAATTATAGCAAAGCCACTAATGTCCATTTAGCAGATGCTTGCTGGGTGTTGCTACACCAGAGGCTGGCTGTCCTGGTTAGGAGCATGTGACTTGGAGTCAGTGTGAGCTGGGTTTGTGTCCTCACTTATCACTTCCTACATCATCTTTTTTTTTTTTTTTCATGGTGAGAAACAGGTGTGTCAGGCAGGAGGAGAGAAGCAAGGGGGCAAGTGGAAGGGAGGTAGCAAAAGAGAAGATGGAGGTGGGGGAGAAGTGGGTGGGAGGGACCAGGAGGATGAAGCAAGGAAGCAGGTGGGAGGAGAAACAGGAAAGCAAGAGAGGATAGAGCGGGAAGGTGGTGAGAAGTGAGGGATGGGACCAGGGGAAGAGTGAGAGGTGAGGCCGGGAGGGAAAAGTGAGAGGGCAAGTCCTGTGTCATCTTAAACCATTTTTTTTTTCACCATTCTAAGCCTTTTTTTCTGACCTGCAAAATAGGGATAATAATAGCACCTACCTCATAAGATTAATTATATCATGGTTACGAGAATTATGTAATAGAATCTACAAAATCCAAAATGGAAGAAACACTAGATGTTTGTTTCAGTTTCTTCAATAAATAAATTGAAAGGAAAATAAAGATGTTTTGCTCTGGAGAAGGGGAAGAGAGAAAGAGGATGGCAGAGAGAGCAAGCCTGAGTACATAGTACATTTAGCACTAAATTAATTAAAGTTTTAG